TACTTCCTCAGCGAGACTCGCAGTGTGGCGTCCTGCATCACTTGGAGAATAATTTCACTAGACCGGTCCATGCAAGAATGCAATGGGCATTCTGGGTTCGTTTGCAATATCAAACCGAAAACATGATCCTTGCCCTTTCGAGGTGAACTTGGCACAGGCTTTTCCTGAGGCACAAGCAGATGAGACACTCGGCAAGCCACAAGACTCGACTTGGGCAAAAAGAGCGTAGACACGGACGGGTGTCAACGGACTCGGGCACATTGCTCACTCACACCTGCATCGCATCGCCGGGACATGATCCTGCTTTGCGCCTTCACTCTCACTCTCATCGTCACTCACACTCTTCTCACTCCTTTCATCACTCCTCGCTCCCCTCACTCTCACTCCCCCTCACTCCTCGCTCCCCTCACTCCCGTTCGCATGCGACGGCAGACTGAGGAGCTGGATGAAAATGCAATGGGTCGATGAAGGCAGGATTGCTAGCAAATGGCTTTTTGCACTTGGTTCCTCGACAGCCGCTTTAAGTCCAAAGTGCAAATATGACACCACTCTGCCGGCTTGTGGCGACTACTGTCAGGCCTCGGCCTGTGTCATCAGAACCTGTAACCTGATGCCTCGAGCCGTTGAGCTTGATCTCTCGACAGGCATCCCGGTACCTGCTGCTCCCGGCTCTGATACCTTCCGCAAGCGATACTCGGCTGTTCCAGGGAAGGGGCGAAGGACGAGTGACAGAGTACTTGCTACTGCCGCCTGTCACATCATGGAACGCATGCCTTTGTCCAACATGACTTCTGTGACCAGAGGCTTGTGGTCGGGCAGTTTGGCTGCAGACAAAAACTCAGACTTTGAGTTGCGGTTGCGGCCTGCATCGCTGCAACCGTCTGGCAGTCCAGCAGAGTCGAGCTGGGCTTTGATTTAATTCGTCCGCGACCGTGCGAGATGTCTAGTCAAGCCATAGCCACGGATAACCAACATGAAGGAACGCCCTGTTGAGCTTCACTCCGGTGTGAATTGGTGAACTGACCTAGGACCAGACATGATTCGAACGACTGTGCTCTGGACACCAAGATACCAGTTGGAGAACAGACAAGTGCTACACTATTTGGGGCACGATACAAGATAGGTCAAAGCTATAAAGGACAGCTAAAGCTCTCTTCGTGAGAGGAGGCTCCCAGAGCAAATTTTGGACGATCACAAGCGAGAAAGAATAAAACAACGAACCTGTTGCCTTCTTCCTGGAGAAAGGTTTGCTTCGACGGATGTCCATGGCGTAGCCTCAGGAAAATCATTTGACGTAGCATTTTCGCTGAAAGTTGGCTGGCTCCTAGGTGAAGGCTTCGTGTTGGCTTCATTTGAGCTTTTGTGTAGCCTTTTCATCCATAGTTCTGAGATGTTCTGAGATTGTTGAAAGGAAAAGAATTATCCTTCACTTCCCGTTGGAAGACCTGCAAGTTCGAACTTGCTGGCTACACAAAGCTTCGAGTCGGCATGACTGCCAGCTTCGGCTAACATTCCGGACATGGACATCTTCTTGACCAGGTTCTTGATTGAGTCAGACTTCCGGTCTGACGAGGACTTTCAGTTCTTGGAGCCCTGTTTGCCTCCAATCATGCCCATACGTGTGCTATTCTTGAGTGGCTTATCGCAGGCGGCATTGATACCAGACTACGACTACAGCCGTTGGTATGACTCAATCGGATGAGTGTTGTTGCAAGCAGCACGCAGAAACCCATCACCATCTGTTTGTGGAGTGCCCATTATACACAGCTACCAGGCCAATCAGGGGTGAAGAGAATGCCGTCTCTTGGACAGCCGGCATGTTCTTCTCCCCGCGTGATGCATTTGCTTGACACTTCGACGACACAATCTCCAAGAGATTTTGGTTTCTCCATCCGGCATTCCGAAAAGCTAATAATGGTATTCTTAACCCTCGTGTTCAACCCGCGAATTGTGGCGTCGTTCAGATGAGGACGGCTCCTATATCTTCTGCAGCATGTCAAGCTTTTTGTAGCTTCATTAGTGGTGGTCAAAGGAAGTGGAGGACTAAAGCATACGCAAGATAGGACCAGATGGGTGGCTCTCGCAGTTGAGTTCGCAGCGTCGTTTGGCCTGTTTCTAAGGCTGTGTTATCCGGAGATATTTGTAGGAATCCTTGTCCGTAGGTCTAAAGGTGCTTTTCTTCGAATCATCAAAAACCATCATCTAAGTGCTGATCAAATAGTCGGCAGTGCACATGAAGTCATTTGGGTTCAGAAATCAGTCCGCGCTCTCGTGTTCGGGGCAGTTTCGTCATCATGATAAGCTTCTGGCTTGGACTTTTCGGGTTTCAAGGAATAGTTCTTGTTTAGATCGTACCGTCAAGATGAAGCCTTTGCTTCCATTGGTCCATGCTGGGAATGCATAACCCCGGCGCTCGGGAGGCCGATTGCAGTAGTGCCCAACAAAAACAAAGTATGCAAAATGCCCTAAATGAGCTATAAAAGGTGTGGCAGCAGCCTTCATTACCTAGGAGCAGCTGGGTTTTCAAATTCACTCAGGAAGAAGCTACGGAAGTCTGCGAAAGCAATTTCTTGTCTTTGCAGAAGAGCTGTTCGTTGTTGTTGTTTGGATGCAGTTTGGTTTGTGGGTCTTGCCTGTTAGTGGGAGCAGCAGTTGTGTGTTGTGTGTGAAGTGGGCTCAGGCAACACAATCCAGAAAAGCTTACTCATGGCTGTCTACACAGCTCGGCGCAGTCTAGATCGCGCTGACCTTTTCTGCTTGCTCCTAGGCTGCATATCCTTATGTTGATGTTGCACAGGCTGGCGGCCTGGTCCTAGGAACTTTGGGGCATGAGATCAGAAGACGTAAGAAGACACCACACTATGCCGTGCTGCATTGCCTGCAGCTGCCGGATTCTTGTGTTCCTTATTTCGCGGCATCCCTTCACTGCCAGGCTGGAGCTTGACAGCGCGCCTTAGCTGCAAGACTTGACCTCTCCCCCTTTCCGTTGTCTTTCTGTCTGCGCGGGCGCTTGCACGTCCACCATTGCAGAGCAAGGTACTAGTGAGCGATTCCAGGGGCTTGAGCCGAGACGCATTCAAGCCAGTGAATGCTCCTACCCTCAGGCATTTTCAGCTGAGAATCTTCGGGCCTTCGCGCGAGCAAACAAGCTGCTCGCCCAGGCACGTGGTTGCAACCAGAGGTTGGTGTTCCTGGATCCCCATCTTCTGGGTTTCATTAGCGAAGCGGGTGGGAAAAAATTAAGGATCATCCGTTGAGAAGGATAGCTTCCAAAAAGAGAAGCTGAGATGTTCAAAGGACCCGCACTACGTGGCGTCACTGCATTTGGGCCTGCTTGGCAGCACTGGTCTCCAGTCTCCTCTGAGTTCCGCACAATGCCACTCCATTCAGTGCTCAGCACGTACAAAGCGACCAGCAAGTTCTCCGGATGCGCAATTACTCTTCACGGTTATGGCATCTACAAATCACTAGCTTGGATATCCCCCGAAATGAAATGACCGAGGCATGAAGCTGCAGGTTGGGATTTTCCCAAACACTGCTGGCGGGGTGTGCATGACGAGAGAAGCTTTGCGAAGACTCTCACAGCATCTGGAGCTGCAGCTCAGGCTGCAATGGCTTTGTTCTGCGCACCATGTGCCAATGGATCTCATGCCTTGGAACTCCAAGCCAAGAGTGGAAAGCGTTGACCGGCATTCTGCAGAGGTTGGAGAAAGACGCCCTCGCATACCCTCATCCAAAGCGAGCATCCGGCCTCAACTTGGCAGAAAGAGATTCCATGCAACGGACGCGAACATGAGCTCATGGAGTCGTCACTTGAACTGCAGGTTGGCTTCTGGGTGCCAGCTGTGCGCCACCCAGAGCTCGCACGCCGGGTGAACGGCTGCCACCTGTCCAAAGCTAAGACCTTTAAGCGTCCAGAAAATGGGAACTGATTTGATGCGACGAAGTTTTGGTGTGACTTAGCTTTGGATCTGAACATGGTTGCAGGTTCGAAGACAGTGTATAAGGAATTAGAGATTATCCGCAGGCATCGGGCCTTCCGTGCTTGGCTCAGGTGGCTTCGTTGCTGGTCATTGGCACCTCTCTGAGAAAAAAGCGGAAGACGGCACAGGATCTGCAGAATGTCCAGACTCTTCTAAGGTGGGACATTATGCTCGGGCGATGCTTCGTCGCATCCAATGTCACGGCGCATCCCGCAGTCGAGGTCTGGCGGCGACTTCTGCCCTGACGATTGATTGATACTTGTACGGTGAAGTTGTGCATGCCACCCACTTGCTGCCAAACTCAACCATGCACAACAGTGTCTTGAAGGACGAGCTTGGGCGCAATTACTTTACCTCGGAGACGCTGCCATGTGGTGAGCTGAGTGAAGCAAAGCATGACGTGCGATGGCCCGCTGCGAGAAGTCTGCGATGTCGTTCAAGCTAGGCAAGTCATAGCCGCAGTTGGAAGAGCGACAACGAGAAGGCAACATTCACAGTACGAATACAGGCACGCCTACACAAGCATGAACGCACCCCGTCCCCAGGCCATCACCAACAAGCCGCAACTTCAGTACTGCAGCAGTAGTCATTCCAGTAGAGACAATTCCAGGGTTACACGGTAGCAAAAGTAGCAGCAGGAGGTGGTAGTAGTAGGAGTCGTCGTCGCTGTAGCAGTAGCAGTA